CCAAAGAAGAAGAAGATCCGTACTCGTGTCATCAAGAAGGTAAAGGGTGACAAACAAGAGGTCACCAAGATCGAAACCGTCGAAGAAGATGACAAACAGCCAGAAACAACTGTCACATTTGAAGAAACTCCTATCGAGGAAGCTCCCGAACAAGTCAGAGAAATGCCGGAAGAGGTTCGTATTGTTGAAACCATCTCTGAAGACGGCAAACCCAAGAAGAAGAAGATCCGTACTCGTGTCATCAAGAAGGTAAAGGGTGACAAACAAGAGGTCACCAAGATCGAAACCGTCGAAGAAGATGACAAACAGCCAGAAACAACTGTCACATTTGAAGAAACTCCTATCGAGGAAGCTCCCGAACAAGTCAGAGAAATGCCGGAAGAGGTTCGTATTGTTGAAACCATCTCTGAAGACGGCAAACCCAAGAAGAAGAAGATCCGTACTCGTGTCATCAAGGAGGTGAAGGGCGGCAAACAAGAGGTCACGACGATCGAAACCGTCGAAGAAGATGATAAACAGCCCGAGACAACTGTCACAGTTCAAGAAACTCCTGTCGAAGAATCACCCGAAGAAGTGAAAGAAATGCCAGAAGAGGTTCGTATTGTTGAAACCATCTCTGAAGACGGCAAACGAAAGAAGAAGAAGATCCGTACTCGTGTCATCAAGAAGGTAAAGGGTGACAAACAAGAGGTCACGAAGATCGAAACCGTCGAAGAAGATGACAAACAGCCCGAGACAACTGTCACAGTTGAAGAAACTCCTGTCGAAGAATCAGCCGAAGAAGTGATAGAAACGCCGGAAGAGGTTCGTATTGTTGAAACCATCTCTGAAGACGGCAAACGAAAGAAGAAGAAGATCCGTACTCGTGTCATCAAGAAGGTAAAGGGTGACAAACAAGAGGTCACGAAGATCGAAACCGTCGAAGAAGATGACAAACAGCCCGAGACAACTGTCACAGTTCAAGAAACTCCTGTGGAAGAATCACCCGAAGAAGTGAAAGAAATGCCTGAAGAGGTGCGTGTGATTGAAACCATCTCTGAAGACGGCAAACGAAAGAAGAAGAAGATCCGTACTCGTGTCATCAAGAAGGTAAAGGGTGACAAACAAGAGGTCACGAAGATCGAAACCGTCGAAGAAGATGACAAACAGCCCGAGACAACTGTCACAGTTCAAGAAACTCCTGTGGAAGAATCACCCGAAGAAGTGAAAGAAATGCCTGAAGAGGTGCGTGTGATTGAAACCATCTCTGAAGACGGCAAACCCAAGA